ATCGATGAATTAATTCGCCCTGTTGGATCTCTTTTTCTCTGTGCTCTAGTTTATATACCATCTTGTAGCGCAAATCCAAGAGAATAAAATATAAGCCACAGAGTGAACAGTAATGGAAATATACTCGAGATTTTCTGTTTGAATTTAAGTACAAAGGTTCAAGTAATAATTGAAACTGTTCACTACCCCACAGGGAAAACTGATAACCAAGATATAAACGATCTTTAACCAAGATTGAGTAATTCACAACAACGTGAGGAAACTTTGTTCAGTAGTTTGCAACATACACTGAACTATATGATAGATTTATTATCGCAAATTCAAGCAAAACGTGGTCCTCACGGAGATGCAACAAATACATCTCAAATCGCTTGTTCACCAATTACAATTATTCAAACCGAAAGAGCGGTTTCTCAGGGAGGCGATTGGTTTCCCCGGAGGTAGAGGAAACTCTCTCGAAGAATAAGATGCTTACAAGTCAGATATTATTCTCTCACTGAACCAAATCACGATGGTCTCTTTCTGAAACTATGTTCTACTGGAAGCACGTTCTGTCAGGACATGAAATACTAGCATATTTCATGGTCCGCAGTTTGCTCATTAGTCTTTTTGCGATAATGTTTTTATTGCTCGAAGTTTGAGATCGATTTCATGACAATTAAAAATATTGGACAGTTGAGTTATTCGATAACGTGTGCATTCAGATATATTTCTTCGATTATTGAAGCATTCAAATCCTTCCATCGAAGAAAACAAAGGAACACGATTAAATATATTTTCATACAAGATGGTGATACAGTAATAAAGTCAAATGAATTCGATGAAGCGGACAAGAATAAGAGGCACATTCAAGGCACACAAGAGACGATATTGAATTAAGATTCATTCTTTCATCAGTGCTTCTTTCGCAGCGATCGAGCACGAGCAATATCCTCATTGATGCCGTACGAACTCTCGCTGATCTGCAACAGTGAATGCAATAATTTGCAAGCAATCACACGGCGATGTATTGAAAGATACACGAAATTCAAAAAGGTCATGGAAATTTGACAAATGAAAATTTCAGATGGTATGTGGAATGTTATATTGTATAGGCATTGTTTGATTTGTTAAATAAGGACGTCTGAAGGCTGATATGTGACGGATTTGAGATATCTTGGCGAAACTCAATAATCGATCATTATCAAAATAATCAACAATAGAATCATCAACCCACTTTCAAGCAATCACTAATAATCATAGAGTATTGGCGGAAGGTGTGATGCTAGAGGTTTTAGATAAAATTTAGAAGTGGGGAGAGCATCTTGAGATGATTAACTACAAAATTCATTAATCAAATGGAGCAGTATTTTGCAGAGTCGTCTTTTCTTAACGAATTCCTCGGGATCAAGTGATTGCTCAGGGTCAGATTCGAGATTCGTTACCTTTCCGTACGAGTGAGGACGCGTAGATGGGAATGTGTCTGGCAAAGAGGATGGTGGTCTGATAAGATCATAATCCAGATTCGAGTCATCAACACTGCTGACAGCATCAACTTCGAGACCTTCTTTGCTTTCAGTTTTCTGAGCGTTCAGATGATTCCGTTCCGGACAAGGACAGTATTCTCCATTCTTACCTGAAAATGATCATTTATCATTCTCATGGTATTTGATGACTGTACTTTTTGCTATCAATATTGATGTTTATATTATTGAAAATAAATAAAGAGCATGTTCGGTTCGACTCAGTTGTGTTCGGTTGGCCTGCTCGCCTAGCCAGTGGGGTGGCGTAAATTGAGGCTAAAACGATGTGCACGGAAACGCGAGTATTGTGGTCAGCAACGTTACAAACGTTTGATAGCCTGGCCAATCCNGCACGGAAACGCGAGTATTGTGGTCAGCAACGTTACAAACGTTTGATAGCCTGGCCAATCCAGGTAATCCAGGTAAATAAAGAGCATAGACTGAAGGTGTTAAATAAGATATTGGCCTTTCTTGCCCACTTGACCACGCTCTCCCTGTGGCCCTGACCGTCCAGGTTGACCTGGTGGTCCCTGCGGACCGATTTCACCTTGAAAACCTGCAACTTCATCAATTTTGTTTTGATCAGCATAAGCGATTGATGATCATCTTCTCCCGTAGACATAGTCTTCGACTGAACGTTATAACGAGTTTTTGCATTGCTTTTGAGGAATCGAGCCCTTTGATCGTCAAGCATCGAAGATATTCATAACGAACCTGGCCTAGCATCTTCACCTCGTTCACCCGGTGCTCCTACATCACCTTTTGGTCCAACTGGTCCTGTTTTGCCTTTTGAACCTTGTGGTCCGAATCCACCCTTTATACCATCTTTGCCTGGTGGTCCTGAGAAGCAGGAGGTTTATTTGGGGCGCGTTTTGATATGACATTATTGAATAGTAANTGCCTGGTGGTCCTGAGAAGCAGGAGGTTTATTTGGGGCGTGTTTTGATATGACATTATTGAATAGTAAGGCAAAATTCGAAGGAAGCTGAATCATTGATTGATGAATAAGGCAGAGGTGAAATTGTTTCATAATCATTTGCAACCTTTCTTTCCTGGTTGTCCGTCTTCTCCTCGGTATCCGATATCTCCTTTGGGTCCTTCTTCACCTATCGTTCCATCAACACCTTCAGAACAAAAATTTCTCAGATGAAATAAAATAACGAACTTCTAAAGATGGACATTGTTTCTAATCACTGTGATCAATTGAAAGTTTGAAGGATCATTGAGTTCTTTTCATTATTCGTTTTTAATACATTACAATAGATTAGTGTTCCCTACTCTATTACCCCTTTCGATGGCCTAGCAGGCCGTCATTACCCCAGCCTCCCCCTTCCCCGCTCTCCTGCTACAATGATACTATTTCTATACGTAACGTTTGAAATAATTTTCCGACCCCTCCATTACCCTCTTGACACCCCCAATTACCCGAAAATAGGTAATCCCCCCCCCTCCCCTATAGAGATCCCTGCGATGGACTATGATAAGTTTTTGATCAGAATGAACACACATGTGGGTTACGTTCATTCAAGTGCAATTTGCGTGGTTATTCATATTATTGCTTGTGTTATTTTGGGAAGACTGTATAAATCAGAAAGTTATCATCAACCTGGTTTCCCTTGTGGTCCTTTCTTGCCATTAGGCCCTCGTTTTCCTCTCGATCCTCTATATCCGGGAAATCCTGGAGGGCCTTGCGGACAAGGCTTACATCTCTTTTTGTCATATTCAATTTGAAAGGTGATACCATCTAAACCCGGTTTTCCAGGTCGACCATCCACTCCATCCATGCCTCAATACAGTTAAAGCAATCAATTGATCAAATAATCGTGAATAGGAGCTATCGTATTCATATTAGTGCTGTGACAATTGCAAATATTGTATTAGTACTGTTGTTTTTATCAAAAATTCTGTCATTTTTTCTTTTCGACATGATTCGGCATTATTAAGAGTGGTGTATCAGAATGCTTTTAGATCATTACGTCAGCCGTCAAAAAGTCGCTCGTCAGAATGTATTCGTATCGAGTGTGTCTAAATTTCATCTGTGATAATACATACCCCTTTCTCCTGCATCACCCGATGGTCCTTGTGGTCCTGGAGGACAATCATTAACCTCAGCGTCGGTTGAATTTGCCGAATTTCCATACCCACCATCAAAACCACTACTAGACTCAACATTATCTGCTCGTTGATGATGTAATTCTTTCACAAAATATAGAGCTGTAAATTGAAGTGCTCGATCTACTCTTACAAGTTGTTTGATAAGAATTTAGCGTGTTTCCAATTATTGGCATTAAGCGAAAGGCTTCATTGTTCAGTGGTGTGGTATGATCTTGAAAGACCCTAACTAAAGGATATGCAACATTCCTAGAGTGCATGAAATGTTAAGATAAACGATTACTATTATAGGATTCAAGGAAAAACGAAGGAATTAAAAACATAGGGAACATTAGAGGATCAGTATTGCTAACATTGCTTCTGTTGTTGGTCCAAATCTCGAACGAAGCGCACGGTATTGGAGTTCATCTGTTGCATGATTTCACTCCATAAATCGTTTGAACTTTTGTTGAATTCTCTTCGATGCACTGATAATTCATCTTCGATCAGCTCCATTTCGTTCCAAACTGTTCGTGAAACGACCAAAAATGTGAGAAGTGCGCATAGCGATAGAAAGGCTGCCGAGCAAATCAAACGAAATGCGAATTTGTAGTGAAATTCAATGCGGGTTGTCATTTACCTGGAAACATATTAGTGCGTTTTGAAAGAACATGCTTTAACCTAACTATTTGGATATATTGCAGAATTCAAGAATACAACAAATCATCCAAAAATCCCAAAATTTGGAGCATCTACAGTCCGGAACGCGCAAAAGTGAAGTATTAATACTATGAAAGTTGTAGTGTATGATTACAATTAGGCATTATATGACATGTATTAATAAGTGATTAGATTATTAAAGTGTAGAATTAATTCAGTGTGTTCAATTCTTGATTACTTCACCACAAAAGCGATAGCCTATCGACTTGGAAATTAAAATGTGGTTTTAAATGACAATAATGAATGGACGCATCGTGGCTAACAAAGGATCATTCATAATTTTCGGATTCCTGAAGATATTATTAATTGAACAAAAATGCTCAAGAGATTGATTGAAATGAATTTCAAGTAAGATAGAGAACATTGTAATGGAGGAACAAACGGCTTTCAGAATTGGAAATTTACTTCTGAAATCAACATCCGAATGGTTTAAGAGATCAGGATCCCACGATCCACTCTGAATCGTTGAATCGTCTACCACAAATGATGCGAATTTCATTCGGGATAAAACACTCACAATCAGTTGGAATTTGTTCCAGCCGAATGCTCTCAAATGATCCAGTTCATTCACTCAATTTTCTTCTCAGATTATGTCAAGGGGAAATGAGTTCTGAAGAAAACGGAGTGTTTAAAATCACCGCTAAAGAAATGTCCATTATTAAACTCATCAATTTAATGCAAATAGGTCGGCAATTTCATGAAACAAATTTATATCTGCGTGCATAATTATGATGTAAAGTGAAAGGCCCTTCCGATCGCCAAATTATTTAGTAAGTTATGATATATGGGTTCGATGCTGCTAAAAATTCACGAATTTAATTTCAAATCGTCAGACGAATACGATTGAAGGAGAAAATCTATTTTTCATTTCTAATAGTTAATATGTGGTTTTTTGAGCAATCATCAACGCATTTGAAATGACAGCCTTGAATAATTCAGCGAAATTTTCAGAAATTATCTTGCTAGAGGAAATGAACAGCAAGAAAAATGATGCGTCCCCATTTTTTGATCATCATTTTTGGCGTTTAATTGCAATAACACTGAATCATATTATCGGAACACAGAGGATTAATAGCACACAAGCACAAAGGGATAAAGTCATCCACAAGCAGTACATACGAAAGTTCCATTTCATCATTTGAATCAATCAGGCATTGTAAGATGATCATCCAAGTACAAAGGGATACGATGATCTAACAGTACATACAAATATTCTATTTCATCATGCATATGTTATATCCGTGTACATCTATCCTATCTTACATAAACAGTTGAGGTACTAAGCGAAAGATTGACTCATATATCACTTTCGTCAGTAGATCATTTTGACCATCCTGACGAATCGTATCGCTCGCGCTCTGTCGCGACAATCATAAATGCGCTCTGGATTGCGCTTCGATAGCCGATTCATCTAGAAACACACCTGAGCCATCCTGATCACGATCCATTCGATCGGTCCTAGCATCCATTTGTGCTCAACTGATAATCCCTTCGATATGTATGTATAAGCGGGATATCGAACAAATGACTGTGACAATTTGCAACTCACTGACAGCTCTTAATTATCATTTTGAGTACGTCATTCGGATAAATTTTATCTGTACGTGCATTCGGTTCCACCTTTAGTGCTTTGTACTATGCTGCATAGAAAAGAGCACGGTTAAGTCGAAATGTTTGTTAGAAGTTATATTGTTTATCATTGTTACTTACACATCGAGCGGTTGTTTTGTTGATCGCGGTTAGCGATCGGCGGAATGCTTATTTTGTAGACTTATGAATATTTATTGGATTNTGTGGCCAGCAACGTTACAAACGTTTGATAGCCTGGCCAATCCAGGTAATCCAGGTAATATTGTTTATAGAAGTTATGTTGTTCTCTATACTTATTCCAGTCTGTGGAAGTTTAAGTTGCGTTTTGTCAAGTTCATTTCTAATGTTCTACCGTCTTTGATCGAATGTGGAATAGAACAGATCCACTTGACCATTCAAATGCTGGATAGCGTGTAGTTGAACGTCTGGAGTGAAGAAATGACCGATATTGTTATTATTGAGTTATGAACATTTCATGAACATATACACATAAATTTGGATTGTTAGCGTGAAAGTAGCTTATCTCAGATCTATATAATTGGTTGATGCTACATTTGATTATTATTATCATTATCATAATCTTCATATTAGTTATTATATCTTCGTTTGTTGTTGAACACAAATCTTTATCGTGGTCCCAGATAGCACGATACATCAGTTCGCATTTTTGGGCCAGTATCAGCACCACCGCCTCCACCGCCACCGCCACCGCCTGTGGCATCAAATCCACCTCCTGAAAAACACTATAAATCGGATATGGTTAATCGCGGGGAAGAAAGTTGATCGAAGCAGATAAATGAAACTTGACGTCGTCAGTTACGGTTTAGTTGGCTCGATTCATTTTGTAACTCAGTAACAATCGTCTCATTCAGCGATCGAGCACAGTACAACTAAAAATGTCCTCTGAAGCATTACAAACCCTACCTCCACCTCCTCCATAGGCGTATTCCTCTCTCTGATACGCATAACCACCGTCGGAACCTCCACCTCCGTAACCTCCACCGCCTCCGCTATAACCTCCGCCACCACCACCTCCACCGCCACTCGAACCTCCGGTAGAACCAGGCGCTCCCGAACCTGGTGCTCCCATATAGCAACTAACGTCACCCATTCTTCTTGAAGATCTGTAGAACGAATGACTCTCTTGACGATAACATCGCTTTTATAATGTTTTGAACCACAAATATTTGAGTAAATGCAAAAATCCCATCGGCTCCAATCAATCCCTTTACTATTATTCCAACAATTTACGATTAGGCGTTATTACTATGTTCCAATAGAACACTGCAAATAGTTTGAGTTGGTAAATGCAGATTCGATATGTCAGTGTCGTTAATAAATATTACAATTTGAACGGTATTTAGAATGCAAACTGTTGAGGAAAATGTTGAGAATAAGAGATGAAATGTTAAGAAAAATGCATACAAGCGGATTTTGCATTGCACACTGAATGTTATAAAAGCGATTCGTTGTTTTCTTGAATCATTCCTTCTACGATTCAATCTTGAAGATGGGCGATGTAAGTTGTTATATGGGAGCGCCTGGGTCGGGAGCACCCGGTTCTACTGGTGGTTCGAGTGGAGGTGGAGGTGGCGGTGGCGGAGGTTATAGCGGAGGTGGTGGAGGTGGAGGCTATGACGGTGGATATGCATTTCAGAGAGAGGAATATGCCTATGGAGGAGGTGGAGGTAGGGTTTGTGATGCTTCAGAGGATATTTTTTGTTGGATTGTGCTCGATCGCTGAATGCGATAATTGTCATTGAG